ACCAGAGGCAAGAGGCCAGTTAGCCGGGAAAATGAACTAAACCAAGAAGGAAACTTTGTTTCTAAGAAGGCAGACAACTCTTCAATCTCCTCTGGGAGGTTCTGGGATAAACTGGTGTAACTCTTCTGTGCACGCATAATCCTTTCCTGGAAAGATTAGCTGCTTTTGCTGATAACCTGGAATCAGATTCAAGATTCTGTTTCCCAATTCAGCTTTGGCCAGCCAGCGAAGTTGCAGTCCTGGTTCCTGGGATTGCCCATCCTGGGAGGGCCTGGCCCATAGTGGAAAGCAGAACCAGAGACCTGAGAAAGAATCCTTATGACACTGAATCAGATGTAACTCTCAGCTCTTCCGTCAGTCAAACGAGTAAATTTTCTTTTTTTATTTAACCACTGAAGATTGCCATTGTAACTAAACATTTCCAGCCAACATCTTTTTTTTTTTCCCTAGGCAACCACTGCCCAGCTGCTTCTGAGCCCTCCCTCCCTTTCCCAATCCGATCTCAGCTGCCTGCTATCTGCACGCACGTCCTCCATCGAAGAATGCAAATTTCAGAAACCAATAGTGCCCAAGGCAAGTCTGAGCGGAGGGAGCCAAGTTTGATAATGAATTCCTGCTCACTGTGTGAGCCATTCTGTGGTTATTCAAAACCCCATTCAGTGTTTTCCCCCGGTAATAATAAGTACACTGTTCTCAGCGTTGTGTCTGTCACCAGCCAAATGATAGTGATATTTCTGCTCAGGATCTTGGTAGACTTGTGGCTCTGAAAATGATGCCTGGAAGCGTAGAGCAACAGATATGTGTGCACTGACTTTGCTGGAAGCAAGATCCGCTGCCCTTGAGGACCTGCTGAGGCCTGGCCCCACTGCCTTCAGAGATGCTCGCTTCAGAAGGCTTGTCTCTCCCTGTGAAGTGGAGACCGCCTCCTGGAATTAACATGTGCAATGTGGGCAGTGGGGCTGCCGGGTTGGCTCAGATTTTGGTTGGATCTCCAACATCTGCTGCTTCAGAATTTCCGGGAGAAATTTCTCAAAGTCCAGGTTCCTGTCCCCATGCCCTGCAAGATTCCGAGTCAGTAGGCCCAGGGTACGCAATCCTGATCTTTCCAAAGCTCTCCGATTCTAAAGGGCAGCTGTGCTGGAGAGTCATAGGTATGAGATATCCACAGGCCAGGGTCCTTGTCCTTCCTCTTACTGGGGGCTCCCCTTTAGTCCCCCAAGGCGCCTCTCCTCTTGGCCTCTAAGGCACCCAGTTCCTTCTTCTGTCCCTGCCCCCAGCATTCCATATACCACACCACCAGTCACTCGGGCTAGCGTGTCGGCAACAGTGAGTGATGGGGCCCACAGACCATTGTTCCGGGGAGGATGGTGCTGAGTCACTATGGGAGACGCCTTCCAGGCTGTGCTGGGAGACAGAATAATAACACCCTTTGGACTGGCCTCTTAAAAACAGAACGCATGATGTCTACACCCATGGGAGGAGAAGTCCTGGGAATCGGGTGTCCTGGGTGCTTCTCCCAGTTAGGTTACAATTCACTGTAGGATGCTGGCTCCTGGTTTGCCCAGGGGTAATTGGAGAGTGTTGTGCCAGGCCTTTTTTTTTTTCAGTGTAAGCAAATGAACACTTATTGAGCACCTGCTATGTACCAAGCCCAGTTAAGGGCTTTACATATTTAATCTCTTAAACAAAGGAGTTTGCTCTCTTGGCTCCTGGCTCTCTTGGTTCAAGCTCCCATGCTCCTGCATTCTCCCACATGGCCCACGCCATCTGGACCCCACATAGAATGGACTAATGGACTGCAACTAGCCTGATGCTGTACCGGTCTCAGTTCCAACATGGGACAGATACTCTGGACACTGGCTTTGCCTCTAGCTCTGCTGGAACTCCAGTTATACTGGATTAAAGAAAATGTGACTCTGGAAAACCAGGGATGTAATTCCATGCAAATAAAAATCACGAATCCTCCCATGCAAGTCTCAGAAAATTCTTTTTCTCGAGATATCATAAGGCCCGGACCCCCAGCCCTCAGTGAGAAAAGGGATACCCCACTTCCACTGATACCCCACTTGCACTATCACCAATAAATTTTATGTAACCCCTTTATGGCTTCCATTTTGATTCTGATGTATAAAATACCAGTAAGTGGTAACACAGACATTTTCTGGAGCATTTTGTCAATCTGTTGAGATTCTGTTTCCTGGCAATGGTCATCAGTGTGGTTCAAATAAACTCATAAAAATCCTTACAGGTTTGGATGTTTCGTACATCGACATAATGTATCGTCCACCCTTTAAAGCAGTGGTTCTCAACCTGTGGGTCGCGACCCCTTTGGGGGTCGAACGACCCTTTCACAGGGGTCGCCTAAAACCATTGGAAAACACATATATAATTACATATTGTTTTTGTGATTACTATGCTTTAATTATGTTCAATTTGTAACAATGAAAATACATCCTGCATATCAGATATTTACATTACGATTCATAACAGTAGCAAAATTACAGTTATGAAGTAGCAACGAAAATAATTTTATGGTTGGGGGTCACCACAACATGAGGAACTGTATTAAAGGGTCGAGGCATTAGGAAGGTTGAGAACCACTGCTTTAAAGCATACAATTTGGTATTTTAAGTATATTTATAAGGTTGTATAGCCATCACCACTATCTAATTCCAGAACATTTCCCTGGTCCCCAAAAGGAACCCCATATCAGTTAGCAGTCACTCCTCATTCCCTCTTTCTGCAGCCCCTGGTTAGTCAATAATATGCTTTGTATCTCTAAAGATTTGCCAATTCTAGACATTTCATATAAATGGAACTGTTCAATATGTGGTCTTTTGTGCCTGGCTTTCTTCACTTAGCATGTTCCTACTGAGGTCCCTCCATATTGCAGTGTGGGTCAGTACCTTATTCCTTTTTACAACCAAAAAATATTTCATTGTATGGATATGTCACATTTTATTTATCCACTTATCAGTCAATGGGCATTGGGGTGTTTCCACTTCTTGGCCCCCGCCCTCTCTGGTGTACTAAGTATTAGTGACATTTCTTTTGTGCATGTGTTTTATTTTTATATTCAGTTTACTTTCAATATTATTTTGTATTGGTCCCAGGTGTACAGCATAGACAACCATATACTTTACAAAGTGTTTCCCCCTGCTATTTCCAGTACCCACCTGACACCATACATACTTATCACAATATTGTTGACTATATTCCCTATGCTGTACTTTACATCCCATGATTATTTTGTAACTGCCAATGTGGACTTCTTAATCCTTTCACTCTTTCACCTAGACCAGTGATGGCGAACCTATGACACGCGTGTCAGAGGTGACACGCGAACTCATATTTTTGGTTGATTTTTCTTTGTTAAATGGCATTTAAATATATAAAATAAATATCAAAAATATAAGTCTTTGTTTTACTATGGTTGCAAATATCAAAAAATTTCTATATGTGACACGGCACCAGAGTTAAATTAGGGTTTTTCCAAATGCTGACACACCAAGCTCAAAAGGTTCGCCATCACTGACCTAGTCCCTCAGCCCCTCCCCTCTGACAACCATCAATCTGCTCTCTGTGTCTATGAGTCTGTTTCAATTTTTTTTGTTCGTAAATTTTGTTCTTTAGATTCCACATATAAGTGAAATCATATATCATTACTATTTTAATCTTCATCCCACCCTTAGAAGTGTATATTACTCTCCATTGATGGATTTAGTAAATTGTTTTCTTAGAACACCCAAAATGACAAGTCATCCCAAGAAACCATTGATTAGACGTAAAAATCCCAGAGACCAGTCAAGTGCTTGTTCTTATGTCAGGGAAGGATAGCGTAACCGAACAGAAACTTCTTTAAATGACTTATTTTCCTTTTGATTCAAACTGGCCTCACCCGGCATCCTGATTCACCTGCAGCCCTGGCAATTAACAGGAGTGTGACTTTGGCAAGTGACCTAACCTCTCTGAGCTCCAGTTCCGTCACTATAGATTTAAGATTAACAATACTACTTCGAAGTTGCTGTCAGGAGTAAGTTGTTTAAAACAGTGCCTGTCATATTGTAAATCAACCACTGGCTTCCAGTGTCTCTGTTCCTGGTAGGGCATGGCTCTGTACCAAGTTGCCCCCTCCCCAATCCATGCATGCTGGTCCCTATCCTCCTGATCCCCTAGGTTCCCCCAACACACACCTCTACCCGCCACTGTTCTTTTCTGGCTAACTTCTCATTCTTCTGATTTCACTTTAAATGCCACTTCCTTGGGGCGCGGGTGGGGGCTTCCTTATTCCTTCTTAAAGCACCCTGCATTTTCCCTTCAGTGTTTATCAGCTTGTAATTTTAGTTAATCGTGTTTGTTTGTTTGTTTTTGTCCATAAACTGTGCGCCCCACCTTGTCTGTCTTGCTCTCGCTGTATGTTCCGCACCTCCCATCAGTGCCCTAGGATCACAGCAGGCATTCACGAAATACTTATGGAAACAGTTCAATCCTCTCCTGAGCCCGGGTTCAGAAAAGGAACATGTCCTCCCCAAACCACAGAGCAGATCAGTGGCAGACTTGAGTCCAAGTCGCCCTTCCTTTTCCCAATCCAGGCTCCTTCCAGAGCCTGGCATGAATGTTCCTAATCTCCCCCACAATATAGTTGTCCCAAGGAACGTTCCAGAAAGGGGGAGAATAGAGCAGTGTGCAGAGTAAAATCACTTGGCTTGGCCCCTCCTCGTTGGACCGTAACGTGGGCACCCTGTCAAACAGTGTAAAGAGAGGGATCATGGCGATAACGACGTGGCATGGCGGCGACGACGATCTTACCAGCTGAGGGAGAGACACAATAGAGAGAGGACGGGACTGTGGACCGGAAGAAGCGAAGACAATGCCCGCGCAGGCGCAGTAGAGACGCTCCCCTCTCCCTTCCGCCCCGCCCCTCCTAGTCACAGGACACCACAGGCAGTCAGCTGACCCGGCGATGCGGAGATCACGTGACGGCGGACGGGGGCGCCCGCGCAAGGCGCATGCGCAGATCTCGGGCGGTTGGGTCAGCTGACCTGCGGGGCGACGGAGCGGATTTAGGCCGCTCTCCTCTTGGGGGTCGCCGCCGCCGCCATGGCCAGTCAGTCGCAGGGCATCCAGCAGCTGCTGCAGGCCGAGAAGCAGGCTGCTGAGAAGGTGTCGTAGGCCCACAAATGAAAGAACAGGAGTCTGAAGCAGGCCAAAGGAGAGGCTCAGGCTGAAACTGAACAGTACCGCCTGCAGGGGGAGAAGGAGTTCAAGGCTAAGGAAGGTGCGGCTCACTGCGGGGCGGAGGGGTGGTTCCAATCTCGGAAGCTGCGCGACTCGAAGGCCTGGATCTGAGGCTCTGGAAGGCTTGGGGGGCGACGGGAAGTTGCCTTGTGGGGTAATAGATCGGGCGTGGAGACATAACAATGGGCGGGCGTCCTTCTTGGTGTCTGGGAGGCGTGTAAAACGGGTTATTCAGGCGGAATTCATTGTCTTTTCCCCTCCCACTTGCTCCTCTGGGGTGCCCCATCTCAGTGAAGGGAGCCACCATTTGCACAGTTGCTCCGTCTAGAAAGAGTCCTCTTTGCCACATCTTCGTTCGCCACCTTCATACCAGGTCCCTACCGCCACCATCTTAGTCCAGGCCATCAGGTTCTCTGAGGCTCCCATAGCAGGCTAAATCCTTGAGTCCTTAAGTGTTTTTAAAATGTGGCTGATAGGTGCCTAGCCCGGTGCCGGACGTACCTGTGGCTTCCATCATCGTGGTGTTTAGAATCCCAGGGGAGGAAACCGATGCTGGGTAGGTCAATTGCAGGCGAGGCTCGAGGGCTAGGGTGGAGAAATGAGAGGTTGCTAAAGAATTGAGCAGGTAGATCTAGTCTGTGTTCTAGACTGGTGAGTGGGAGAAGTTTCCTCTCCTGCAGTCCGTTCTCGCTGCGGTTCGAACCCCCTGACTGTCCCACCGCCTTTATCGGCAGCAGACACTTAGTGCCTGCAGAACAAAGCCCAATTCCTTATTAGGGTGCTGGAGGCGCTTGGGGATCGGGCTCTTGCTTTCTCCCCTAATATCACAGGTACGCTCCTCCCTTCTTTGATGTCCCTGCGGCCTTTGCATAGCTGTTTGCTCTGGTGGCGAGAGGTTTGCCCGGTTTGTTCTCTAACCCTAAATCTTCCTTCCGGTCTCAGAATGGAGGCAGTTCTTCTAAGAAGCCTTCCCTGGCTTTACCCTCTCCCTTCAGACTAGGCTAGGAGTCCTTCCCAGGTGCTGTGTCTGTCATCGTAGTGCAGTAACCTGTGTCTTCAGTCACTCGATTAAACAACTGGAGATCAGGGACTGTGTTTAGTTTATCCATTCAGTTTCCCATCTGGTGAGATAGATATTCCTATCCCAAGTTTACAAATGGGAAAAATGAGGCTCGGAGAGAAATGACTTGACCCTGTCCTGGGAAGCAGCATAGCTGAGGTGTAGAGGTCTCCATTCTTGTGCAAGGATAAAATACCAAGAAATACGTATTTTAGTAATTCTCTGGTATTTCTCCTAGTATGACTTACACTCTTCAATCAAAGTGCATGGCTCTTGTACTTAGAAGAGCGGTTATGTGATCCTCTATATTTCATAGGGGAAGTTTTCTTTGAGGGAACTGGGGATGGGAGCAAGCCTTTCAGTCTTGCTCTGGTGACTGGAAAGTTCTGTGTTCTTCACAGAATATTTCTGATTATGTCCTTGATACAGTATTTCCAGAATGACATCCCACAATTAGTCATGTGATGGCTCATCAGTAACAAGTTGTATCTGTTGGGAAGCATATAAGAATATTTGGGGCAAGTGCAGGAACAAATACTTGGAACATGGTAAGAATAATTCTGAGTGCCTTGGAGAAATGGGTCATGTTTTACACCTTATTTTGTTTTTTAAAATGTTTTCTTTTTTATTGATTTCAGAGAGGGAGAGGGAGAGATAGAAACATCAATGATGAAAGAATTATTGATCAGCTGCCTCCTGCACGCCCCCTACTAAGGATGGATCCCAAAACATGGGCATGTGCCCTGGCCTGGAATCTTTTTTTTTTTTTAATATATTTTTGATTTCAGAGAGGAAGGGGGAGGGAGAGAGAGATAGAAACATCAATGATGAGAGAGAATCATTGATCAGCTGCCTCCTGCACACCCCCCACTGGGGATCGAGCCCGCAACCCAGGCATGCACCCCTGAACGGAATTCAACCCGGGACCCTTCAGTCCACAGGCGGATGAGCCATCCATTGAGCCAAACTGACTAGGGCTGGCCTGGAATCTTAACCGCGACCTCCTGGTTCACAGGTTGACGCTCAATCACTGAGCAACACTGGCTGGGCAATCTCAGATTTTGTGATTACTAGCAACAGAAGTATTGAGAAGAACTAATATTGGGAAATTATTGCCTGCCTTGATTTGTAATTATAATTGACTTGCCCAGTTAGGGATTGGGAAGAGGCGATACATGATGTGGTAAAATGGTCCAACTCACATTTTCATGAAATTGTTGCTTTGAACCGTAATATATATGTATTTAAAAATTGTGTTATGGTTTATTTCATTGGAATGAAACATAACACTGGCTTCCATATATAAGGTCCACTAAAAGCAAGATTGAAAATAAATATAATTTCTGGTTCAAATATTTTTAGTTTTCAGAGAAGCCTATCAAAATTGAACATTGAAGATGTTTGCTGATAGGCAGAGAATATATTAAGTGATTAATTCAGGGAGCCGTGGGAGTTGGGAGTGATCAGGAGAGTGGTATTGTGAAATTATGTGGAGCTACTGCATAATGTTTGGTGCATAAATGTTATTTGTAGATTCTTCGTTTGGAAAAGATCTTTGGCTTTGAAATAAGGCTTTGAATACACCTGATGAGGCGGATAGCATGTGGAGCACTGGGGTACAGGTTGGTTTGAGCAGAGGACAGCAGTAGGCCCTAAGCCAGTGATGGTGAACCTTTTGAGCTCGGCGTGTCAGCATTTTGAAAAACCCTAACTTAACTCTGGTGCCGTGTCACATATAGAAATTTTTTGATATTTGCAACCATAGTAAAACAAAGACTTGTATTTTTGATATTTATTTTATATATTTAAATGCCATTTAACAAAGAAAAATCAACCAAAAAAATGAGTTCGCGTGTCACCTCTGACACGCGTGTCATAGGTTCACCATCACTGCCCTAAGCCATACTGAAGTAAATATACATGCAGAAGTAGTCTTGGGGTGCTCAGAGAGAGAGAGAGAGAGATATCTGTTGGTTGTTTCGGACTGCCCCATCATGGGGTCATTAGGTTCCAAGTAATTTCTTAATTAGGAGATGGAAGGTTAAATTTAATTTCGTTCATTCACATGAGTTGAGTAAGATTTGGGCAATTGATATACAATGATGTATAATAAAGCTTAGTTTTAGATGCAGGATGTTTTATGCTCTTAAATAGATGTTCAAATTGTTCGCTTAGGACCTTTTTTTTCTGTTTGAGTATCTGAAAAGTTAGTGAACAGGATTACAGTTATCTGTTCGTTGGTCTTGGGGTCTATTTTTATACAGGCTTGGTTAGAACCTAGAGAATTTTCCCATCTGTGTATTAAACTAGTCTCTTCTACAAACCAGACTGAAAGGGTTAAGAAGAATAAAACCGGGCAGAGAAAAACTTATTGTGCTTAGCAGATACATTGCAGAAAGCTTGCAGCCTTGAACACCACATAGCTCAGGTAACCAGAAGACACCTGGCGGTGGGAGGAACAAAGGTTATGTCAGCCAGCCGAACTGCTTGCAGCCAGCAATAGCTGATAAAAGTCTTCCCCCTCCCTGCACTCTCTGCTGACTCCCCTTTGTCCATTCAGCCCTTCTGCACCCAGAGGACTGCAGTAAAAGCTTTTTGATACATTATAGCCGCATGTCATAGGCGCGACCGGGGCCCACTCCGAACCTTTCACAGACCACCTGTCTCCTCACCTCTCAGATGCTGTGCGGTCTTACTGTCCAGTGCTCTCTGTGGAGGATGCCTTCCCAATACCACTTTCATTCCTTAGGGCCTGTGCACGGGCATGGTTTTTAGTTTCCAGTGTGACATCATCTTTTCATTTAGTTAGGTTTTGAGAGCCTGGAGGGCAAGGGAGGAGAGGTTGCTGTCCCTTGGGAGCATATTAGTCTCCTTGCTAAGCTTCTAAGCAGAGCTCCAATCGTAATCAACAGCATAATTATGTGTTTGCTTCTTGGGAGGAGGAAGAGTTCCTTAGATGGTTAATGTCTCCTATTTGATGTTGGTTCGTAGTAGTTGAGATTGGGAGAATATTCTTACACATTCCAAAATTTTTCCCCATCATTTTTACTGTCTGTTGTTAATGGCAGTTCTTTTTATCTAGTCATTTTCTAGTTAAATAAAGCCTGCAGGAGGCAGGAACCTATACTATTAGTTACCTCTGAATTCCCTCTCTCCCCTGCATGTCTCTTGAGACTATTTTAAAACTTTTTTGTTTACCATCTCAGTCTCTGCTTCCTTCTCTTGTCTTTTAACCACTTCCTGATGTAGCTCTTTCTTTTGAAAACAGGAAAGAACCGGAGGCTGAAGCAGGCCAAAGAAGAGGCTCAGGCTGAAATTGAACAGTACCGCCTGCAGAGGGAGAAGGAATTCAAGGCCAAGGAAGCTGCGGTGGGCCCCATTTATTTTCATTACTGCTTTGGTTTCTTGAGACTTCCCTCTCCTCCCCTTCCCTCCAGGCTCTCAAAGTACCCAGCATAGCTTGGTAATGCTCATTCTGATTGGATTTTAAAATGTTAGTTATTGTATGTTTTATTGGATGCTTAGGCTGAATCTCATAGGGCCGTGGTTGGCAAACTGCGGCTCACGAGCCACATGCGGCTCTTTGGACCCTTGAGTGTGGCTCTTCGTAAGCCTTAGGAGTACCCTAATTAAGTTAATAACAATGTACCTACCTATATAGTTTAAGTTTAAAAAATTTGGCTCTCAAAAGAAATTTCAATCGTTGTACTGTTGGCTCTGTTGACTAATGAGTTTGCCAACCACTGTCTTAGGGTGATCAATTTTTAACTAATAAGTGAGTCCTAGTATTCACTTATTCATTCATTTAATAAGTATGTTGAACAGTTAACATGTGACAGGTCCTGTGCAGATGCTAAGGGCCGAGCTGTGAACAGAAATAGACATGGTCCTTGCCTTCACGGAGCCTGGCTTACGGGCTGGTGGTCAAGGAGACTCAATGAAATGCAAGTCATGGAAACCTGCAGCTTGAACAGTATGGTGGCAGAGACATACAAATCTCCCGGAGCCTCATGTTAGTGTAAAGACACGTACCAGCTATAGGCTAGATGACCATGCATAAGATGTATACAATCATAGTACAAAAACACATCACAGAGAGTACAAGGGAAGCAAGGAAAATTCTGGAAAGGGGAAAGAATGGAGGAGGGCTTCACAGAGCAAAGAAATTCTATTAGGACTCTTGGATGTAGGTAACAGAAAACAATTCAAACAAGTTTAAACAAAATGGAATTAATTAAAAGCCCCGGGCATACCCGTAGACCTTGCCTGACTGTGCTCATGGCCAGGCAGGGGGGACAGTGTATGCAGGAGTAATCTGGAGTTAGTGCCAGTTCTAGCCAGCCTACTCAGTGGCTGGATAAGTTGCATTACTTCAACATTTACAAACAAACACACACAAAAAAAACAAAAAAACCCCACAACAATCCAGATAAAAGGCTAACTTGATTTTGATCCGGAAGTTTAAATAATGATTTGAGGACGCCAATTTCATCGCTCAACTCTGCCTTTGGCTTTGTGGGCTTTATTCTCAAGTTCTACATGGTGCCTCTGCTAGTTCCAGGTGCACATAGCAGTAAGTAGCAAAAGTTTCATCTTTGCATTAGGTGGTGATAGTGTTATTAAAACTTAAAATATTTCTCTGACTTAAACTGGGGCAGATTGTAAATTGTCAGACTGCCCACAGAAGAGTGTAGAAATACTCTTGTGTTAGAACAGCCATCTCATCTCATTTTTACATCACTGCTGTAATTGTTTATAGAATATCGGTGTTGTACACAGTGTTCCAGTGTAACTTCAGTTTTGAGTACTGGGGCTTGGCATATAGTTTATATTCATAGAATAGAGCTAGTGGCTCCCTCATCCCCCCAGTAGGGGTTATGGACTTTTAAAAGATATGAGGTAGCAACTGAACTAACCATTATGAAATGCTTCAAGGTATTCCTATACTATGAACAGTTCTAGTACTGCATAGGGTAAAGAGCCCGAGGGTTGAATCTTACTGTGTTCACCCTGATCTCTTTGAGCCTTGGTTTCGAATGCTAGCCTCCTCATAGGCTATGGAGGAATAGATAACATCTGAGAGAATGCTTTGTAAACTCTCTTGTGTTATACAGGTAGAGAGGGATATAGCTGTTAACATATGTAGTGAGGCCACAATAGGAGATACAAAGGGTCAGACACAAAAAAGTTACGTCTTCAAGAACCAGATAGGTCACTCTCTAATAACGTACAGCAGATAACAAAAAGCCAGCCATACTGTGAAGGCAGTAGAAGATAAATGTTAGCAATCAGTATTTGTTAAATTGTGAATGGAAACGGAAGGGGTAAGATAGCCATACAGTAAAATATTTAAGCAATTAAACGGGGCAACAGTGAGAAGTTACTCTCCAACCCAGACCTATAGTCCTCAGAGAGAGTCACTGTTAAAAGTATCTTGTATATTCTAGAATATTTATGTTCGAGAGAACAGATGTTATGTATTCATAATAGTGGTGAATCTACTGGTAAACTTAAGAGCTAAAACATTAGCCCTATAGATTTGGCTCAGTGGTTAAGCGTCGGCCCGTGATCGAAGGGTTGCAGGTTCGATTCCTAGTCAAGGGCACGCACGTACCTTGGTTGCAGGCTTGATCCCCCCAACCCTGGTCAGGGCATGTGTGGGAGGCAACCAATCGACATCGGTGTTTGTTTCTCCCCCTCCTTTATCCCTTCTCTTTTCTCTAAAAGTCAATGGAAAAATATCCTCAAGTGAGGATTAAAAGCAACAACAACAAAAACATTAACCAGTAATAGTGAAACTCTGTATATTCTTCTTAAATTGTGTCCCCCTTGTGCCTTTGTGTTTATCATTTTTTTAGAGTTTTTTTTTTTAATATATTGATTTTAGAGAGAGGAAGGGAGAGAAGAAACATTGATTTGTTGCTCCACTTATTTATGCATTTGGTTGATTCTTGTATATGCCCTGACCAGGGATCAAACCCTCAACCTTGGAGTATTGGGATGATGCTCTAATCAACTGAGCTACCTTGCCAGGGCCAAGAGCTTTTTAAAAACACACCATATGTCCCCCACTTAAAATCACACAAGGAAACTTCTATACCAACTACACGGATACCACTCTCTATCTTGCCCTTTTCCCCTTAAACTGCATGCTTTACAGGTCATTTCTTCTTGCTGTGCACATTTACCTTATCTCTTAAATGGCTGAAGAGTATGCTCTGGTGTTGATGCACCATCATTTGTTCAACTAGGCTTCAGTCCTTGGGCCTTTAGTTCATTCCAGTCTTAGGCTACACATTAGACCAGTGGTTCTCAACCTGTGGGTCACGACCCCTTTGGCGGTCGAACGACCCTTTCACAGGGTTCGCCTAAGACCATCCTGCTAATCAGATATTTACATTACGATTCATAACAGTAGCAACATTACAGTTATGAAGTAGCAATGAAAATAATTTTATGGTTGGGTCACAACATGAGGAACTGTATTTAAAGGGCCAGAAGGTTGAGAACCACTGCTCTAGAGAGATGGGAATATGTCATTCTCTGGGATAATTTCCTAGCAGCGGAAATGCTGTGCAGTTTACTTTCTGATAGATGTGGAAGGTTGGCCACCAAGTGATTGCATCAAGTTTTGCTCCCATTAACTCTGGGAATGCCAACTTCCTGCATGCTCTTCAGAGGCTCCATTGCCTAATGCTGATTGTTTACATTCACTAATGAGACTGGGTTACCAGATGTGGTTCCTAACATTCCCTGTGTGTCATTACTCCTCGACTCAGGCTCTGGGATCCCACGGCAGTTGTAGCACTGAAATGGAGAAGGAAACCCAGGAGAAGATGCTCATCCTCCAGACCTACTTCCGGCAGAACAGGGATGAAGTCCTGGACAACCTCTTGGCCTTTGTCTGTGACATCCGGCCAGAAATCCATGAAAACTACCGCATAAGTGGATAGTAAAGAAGAAAGAAGCACCTGTTCTATGGGTTGGCATCTTATATGCCTCCATGGAATATGAAGCTTTTGCAAAGCTTGAGTTACAATCTTGTGAAAAGGCATTAAATTATTTCTGTGTACTGTATAGTAGGTCCTTTTGCTTTTGGGAGAACAGCAAATCTAGTTTCTTTCTATAAACTTAGAGTAGAGTTTATCCAAAGATTTCATCTTTTTACCTCATATTTCTTAGAAAGTTAATGAGTATACTTTGTCTGTTTTTCTATGCCTTTTAACTGAAGCAACATATAAATATATATAACAATACTGACTTTTTCTTTCTTAGACATGGTAAGAAACACTTTTTTTTTTTTTTTTTTAAGAAAGAAAGGGATTAAATTAATTTTTTCCCTTAAGCTTTCTTGAAGGTCAGGGGCTTTATCTATGAAAAAGTAGTAAATAGTTGTTTGTAACCTGTGTAAAGCAGCAGCCAGCCTTAAAATACGAGTAGTCCTTTCTGGTGAAGGGTTAGAACAATGAATAGTGGTATAATTGTTTGGTCTGCTTTTAGTGTTAATCCAAATTACTAGATGATAGAATTTAAGAACTTGTTACATGTTGTTACTTGGTGTACTGATAATCATTTAAAAGTAAAGACTTTGTCGTGCATTTTTCTTCTCTGGTTCATCCTTTTTGATAATGCAATGTGTACTTTGACCCAGACATTTTGCAGAATTTCACTGAGGAAATTAAATTAGCATGTGTGGCACACACATTCCCGCACATACTTAGAAAATATTCTTGGTCTGCATCTTGGCAAGAAGAAAAGAATCACTTTTGCACTTACATTTCCTAATCCTCGTAACAACTATGTTACGAGATACGAGGCAGAGAGATTAAAGAACCAACTCACTCGTGTTAGAGCAGTGATGGCGAACCTTTTGAGCTTGGCGTGTCAGCATTTTGAAAAACCCTAACTTAACTCTGGTGCCATGTCACATATAGAAATTTTTTGATATTTGCAACCATAGTAAAACAAAGATTTATATTTTTAATATTTATCTATTTAAATGCCATTTAACAAAGAAAAATCAACCAAAAAAATGAGTTCTATCATCTAGTGTCATAGGTTCGCCATCACTGTGTTAGAGCCAAGATTCGGATTGGCAGTCAGATTTAGTAGAGTAGGTCCTTGCGTTATGTCTGAGGTCTGTTCTTACGAACCGACGTAACGCGATTTTCGCCGTAAGTCAGAACCCACCTACATAAGCACCTATGTCACGCACATGGAGCACATAGCAGTAATGAAGTGAAACAGTAAAAAAAAATTAAGAGAAAGATAACAATTCCTGACCTTGTGGTAAATAAATAATAAAAAACATAAAGCAATATGTACATACATCGAAATGACAACTTTTTTTTTATAAATACTGTAAATGGGAGATTGTAACGTAACCATGAAATGACGTATGTCAAGTCCGACGTAACCTGAGGACTGCCTGAATCTGCTTAACCACTCTGCATATGCTCAGAAGTGAGGTTATCATACACCTTTTATGTACCACACAGATTTCCTTCATCTCCCAAACCCTAGATTGATTGCTCCTCTGGCAATTTCATGTCCTGTCTAGAGAGAAAAATACCCTCAACATTGCCCATTACAAGTACAGAAACTGACCATTCCACTTGGTGCCACTGCTCAGACCTACTCAAGTTCTTGAAAGAAGGCATAAAACACTGGCATCTTATACAAGTTCCCTGAAGATTGACCACTTCCACTTTCTGGGTGGAAAAAAACCTCTTGAGGTTCTGAAAAGTGAAGCAACTTGTCAGGCTGTGCAGTGAATCTCTGCATGCTTCTAGTGAGGGAGCTCTGTTCTGTGTCTGGCACTTTTTGTAAACCTACAGCCCTGCAGGGTGATCCCACTTCCATGGGTGGGAAAGCTGAGGCCCAGAGGGGCTTGGAGAATGTTCAAGGTCTCAGAGCAAAGGAGTGACAGCTGGAACTGAGTCCATCAGACCCGCCGGAAGGCTGCAAGAGTAAACTGACCATGCATTTTCCTTGGAATTTGGTGAGCGGGCACTCTGTAGCTAACTTGCATTTCTTGGCACATTTGTGCGAACAGTGATGGAGTGATGGTTCCAGAAGTCAAGGAAAGTTGTTTGGCGGGAAGGGCCTGTTGGATGAATCTCGCATGCCCCAGGTTTTTCACCTTTTCAGTTTTCTCCTTCAAGCACCATCTGGCAGATCTCAAGAGTGTTTTTCTCCTGTCAACTGATCTCACACCATTTCAGTGGCTCTGAGGTTACGGAAAAAGCTGCTGCACAGGCAGGCAGTTCAAGTCTTGCTCCCCCACTCCCATCCCGTCCCCTACGAGTAAACCGGTCTTAGGAGGCAGGAGAGGCACATTCACTATTGAAAGATTAGGCCAGTGGATGGGGAGAGGAAGCTGCTGGATCATGTCAACATCTATCTTCTATGGCTTTTAAAAAACCTGAAATGACACTCACTAGCTCCTGGGTCAAGTGTGAATTCAAGGCCATAGCTCACAGTATTTGGGTGATTGATGGAGATCGGTGGGCTTAGAGGGAACAGACAATATTCCCCTCTCGCCTTTTCTACTAGAAAAGAACTTACAAAGGGAAGAATGGCAGAGAATGTAGAACTGATGGCAGCAGTGAAGATAGGATTAGGAGAGAAGCTAGGCTGGTTGTTCTGAAAACATGATGGGGTGTCTACTATTGTCTTACAGAGTATTTAAAGATAAAAAGACCCCAGAGTCTAGTTCTAGTTAAAAGCCCGATTACCTTTTTTTAAAAAAAAAAAAATATTTTTCATTATTTTCAGAGAGAAAGGGAGAGGGAGAGAGAGAGAGAAACATCAATGCTGAGAGAGAATTATTGATTGCCTTCTGCACGCCCCACACTGGGGATTGAGCCTGCAACCCGGATATGTGCTCTGACTGGGAATCGAACCATGACCTCCTGGTTCATAGGTCAATGTTCAACCACTGAACCACCCGGCTGGCCAGGCCGATTACCTTTTCATTGACCTTCCCTCCTCGCCCAACCAGATGTGGGTGCTCCCTCTTCGAATCCTGCCCCATCTCATTCCCTTTTCAACCACTGAACCACCCGGCTGGCCAGGCTGATTACCTTTTCATTGACCTTCCCTCCTCTCCCAACCAGATGTGAGTGCTCCCTCTTCGAATCCTGCCCCATCTCATTCCCTTGTACCTGCCAGTGGCTCTTATCTTTCAGCACATAGTGTGGAAATAGATTTCTGACTTTTCAGGGGGGTTGCTGGCCTTGCTGACAGGAATTCAGAGTTTCTTCTGGTTTTGACCCAGTTTCCTGACAAACAGCACGTGACCTGTCTTACTCCCTGCACGTTCGTGACAAGGACAGCTGTGTGTTCAGTCCCAAGTTCTTGCATGTGTATTTTTTCATGGGGCGCTCATAGCTTAATGTGACTTCCAGGATTCAGAATCAATTTAATGTAGCCATTAGCAAGGGAACATTCTTTTGGAAATGGACGTGCTTTTGGGAAGAAGTTTAAAAATAGCTCTACTTAGTGGTAAAGGCTGGATCTGAACCCAAGTCTATCTGACTTCCCAGCCTGAATCGCTATCCGATTAAGTTCAGTTTGCTCAGGCCCTGGTAACATTTCAACCAATATGTTTCTAAAAGAGCTAGAAAGTCAGTGAATCTATAACTGGCAGACCCATTCTGAAAAACAAGATCTCATTTTTGATGTTCGCTTTTCATTTACTCACCCAGAGGTTCTGAGGTTCTCCCTTGTCCCATCGGCTGCCACGCTTGAAGTTTCTGCCAGCCTGGGAAGAATTTCATTCCTTCTTTACTTCATCCAGGTTGCCAGATAGTTGGCAGATGGCCCCCAAACACTGGTCTGTAACCCTTATAAACACAACAGGACAGATGGTGCAACTGCTGAGTAAGGGTGGCTTTGGCTGGGGTTTGTGGTTACAGTCACCTGTTGCTTAATGATGGGGATACATTCTGAGAAATTTGTCCTTAGGGATTTCATTGTGCAAGCATCATAGTGTGCACTTATACAAACCTAGATGGAATAGTCTACTATACACTTAGGCTCCATTATAGACTTTTGGGACCGCCCTCGTATGTGCAGTTATTATGGGGTGCATGACTATTAGAATTTATCTGTAGTTGAGACCCTGATGATTTCACTCATAGCTATTTATTCAATAACTCAAGTGCATGAGGGGAGGGTGCTGGGGGACAGATACGAGCATGGGCAGAAACAATTCTATGCCCCATAGGTTTATTCTTTTTTTGGGAAATGGGACATTGAACAATGAGCATACCATGTGCTAGGTGTGGCTGTATGTTAAGCAAGGGTCTATGAGAGTGGGGGACTGGCCTGGGCCCAGGACAGGAAAGGGCTCCCAGAAGAAGGGTCCTTTTAGCTAAGACCTAAGAATGTGTCATCAGGTGATGAGGTGGGGATGAAGTTTGGGGTTACCTTCCAGATGGCGAGGGATGGCAACCACTGAGAACTAGAAGTGAAAGAGAGTGTGGGGTGGGGGAGGAACTGAGAGATGTTCTGCAGTCTTGGAGTTTAGGGTTTTTAGTGGTTAAAAATTAGTACAGGGCAGACTGGGGGTGGGGAGGGGCTTGGGCCCAGCACCTAGAACCTTGTGAATCCGTAGAGCTAGCTTTCCTGGAGTCTGCTTTCCAGCGGACTTGACTAGGTATTTCTCACCTTTTACTGGATTTTATTTACCTTCCTCCATTCTACATGGAGCCCCCACTCCCTCATGCTATAGTACCAGGCCTTGCAGCCCAAGACTAGCAACTCTTTACTGAGCACTTTCTAAGCACATCATCTTCTCATTTAATTCTTAAGGTTTTGCCAGTATTCTTTTCCTTCTCTTACAAATGAAGAAATGGAAGCTCAGAGAGGTGAACCGACCTGTGCAAGTTCACATGCCAGTAAGTGGCGGAGCCTGGTCAGCCGGTTCCAAAGGCCCACGTCTTCTGTGCCTTCCCAGCCGAGGAGACTGATGTGTCAACATGGAGTCCATGCTGGCGTGGGAGGAGCAGTGAGAATGCCGAGGGAGGCAGCCTAGCCTGGCAGGAAGAACAGGCGAACGTTATCAGGCTTCCTGGAGGAGGTAGGCCTTGCTGGAGAGGCAGGATTTGGATGGATGGTGACCAGGCCACCCGTGTCAAAGAATCCCTTTCTTTTTTTCCTCAATATTTTTATTGATTTTTAGAGAGGAAGGAAGGGAGAGGGAGAGAGAAACATCAATGTGAGAGCAGAATATTGATTGATTGCTGGCTGCCTCCTGCATGGCCCATACTGGGGATTGAGCCCACAACCTGGCCATATGCCCTGACCGGGAATCGAACCAATAACTTGTTGGTGCATGGGAGGGTACTCAATCAACTGAGCCATTGATCCTCCAACTGATCCTCCTCAGGGCCAGAGGATCCCTCCCAATATCCGCTCAGCAGTTATAAAGCTCCAACATCCCATGGACTCTTGCTTCCATCCCCCTGAATTGTATTCTGGGAAATTAGGCAAACTAAATAGGGATCTGGTATGTCTTGCTCACTGCTGCCCAGTACAACGCCCGGCACTTAGCAGGCACCCAATGTCGTTTCACTTGCCTGGGGAATGAGGGCCCCTGGACAGCACCTGCCACTTAGTTCCTCAGTCACTGCTCGCTGCCTCCGAGCACTCTGCCTGTGCCTGTGGCCGGGCATGCAGTCAACTAAGTCCTGTGGTCTGAGAGGCCCCCAGCAACTTGGCAGTATCTGTTGCATTAAAAATACACCCCCATTCTGACTCAGCTGTAGAACGCAGGCTGTGGCATGTAGCAGCACTGTGGCTGTGACCATCCAGCACAGCCTGTGAGCAAGAGTGGGAACCACCTACAAGTCCACTGGGGGGAGGGGCCTTCTCACAATATATGGAGGTCTGTGCACCCCTTTAAAAAAAAAAGAGGCAGAGTGGGGTGTTCTGGCATGAGGTGAACGCCAAAGAACTTTTGTGGAATTAAAAGTAGCGTGCCCAGCAGAATAGAATAGGCTCCCTTCCGTATGGACACACATGCGTGTGTGCATCTGTCCATCTGTGCTCTGTGGGGAAATACACAAGGTTCCTGCAATCCTGGGGGAGGGGGCCCTCTGCACTGAAATCCCCAGTGATGGCGCTGGGGGTGGCAGCCAAAGTCCAGTGGAGCTGCTAGACAGTTTCTGGCAGTTGCCAACACACAGATTATCTCATTAAAGCACAATCCCATGAAATAGTCTATAATCTGTTTTTTTTTAACCGAAAACTAAGGCACAGAGACGCTCAATAGTTTACCGAAGATGATCTCAAAAGCCGAGCCCTGGTGGCTTGGAGCTCACGTAACCTGGTCCCCAAACCGATGATCTGATAATACAGACACATGTAGTTTTCCCATGAAACACAAGTCCCTGGGACGTTCCTGATCCCCGATATTGCCTCATCCACCGGGTCCCGTGACTGTCTGTGTTCCGCGGGGCTGGACCTCGGAGGTAAGCTGCTGCTCTGCCTAGGGGCAGACTACACCGAGCCTCCCAGAGGGGCCGGAACTGGTCCCGGAGGGCCTGCCCCACCCCGCCC